AAAGGGGAGGGGGAAGGAAAGAAGGGGAAAGGAAGATTGCATATCGGTGGCTTGGAAAAGCAATTTATAGGGTCTGTGTGACTTTGTGTGCTTCAAGTAGCTGTATTTAGTAAAATATTTCTGACTGACGAGCAAATGCTCAAGCCAAGATTCAGACACTCCGTGGGTGAGGGGAAGGTATTTTCCGTGTCATTTAAGAGAAAGAACTCCTATTCATGAACGGTGGCTATGAATCTTTTCTGAAGAATAGCTGACCGTGGGTGGCTAGGTTGGAATACATTAACAAAGGAAAGAGGGCGCATGATTGTTGATATCCGAGTACCTGATGTTCAGCTTGCACTCTAAGTCGAAGCAGTGGGAGCAGGTGTCTCTGTGTGTGTGCGTGTGTGTTTCACTAGAAGCTAATGTGGAAATGCTGATAGGTGAGCCAACCCTTACAGTGTGCCCCAGGATTTAACCTTTTGAAATTTGCTCTTATAATTCCTGTAGGTTGTTTCTTTAAAATGAGATTTAATAATAGAAAGTGCAGGGGGTAGGGGGAGGAAGAATGCAGACTAAAAAGAAGAAAAATCCATTTGAGATTATAGGTCAGATCATGTAACAAATACAATTATGACTCATACCTCTAAAGTGGTAAATGCCTGGGAATTTGGATTTGACTGGGAATGGGGTGCTTTCACTAATTAAATAGTTTGGTTATGAGCTAGTTACTATATAAACTCTAAGCCAGTGGTTTCCTCACCTTGGTTTGCAGGAAAATGACTTGGTGAACCTGCTGAAATGCAGATCTCTAGGCCCCACACCTAGAGATTCTGATTCAGCAGGTCTGGGTGGGACCCAGGAATCAGACTTTTCTTTTTCTGAGCTAATTTTTGATTGAAAAATTAATATATGTTGAATCTGAATTTTAATAAGCATCCCAAGGGAGTTTAACTCAGTGGACCAGCTACCACTTAGAAAATTAAAAAAACCCAATGAAGTGTGCTTAGGAATAAAACTCGGGTGAGCGCCATGTGGTATTTGGAGATTCTACACCGTCAAATATTTGGAGATTCTACACTGTCAAATGGGAGCTCTGGTAGCATAGTGGCTAAGACACTTGCCTGCTAACCAGACGGCTGGCGGTTCAAACCCACCAGCCACTC